CTGGCCCCCTCCGACATTAAAACCGTCGTAAAGTATACGCCGTCGAGCGCGGAACACTGGAATCGGGTGGACACTGGAAAAAGGAGTCGGAGAAACGGGCCCGGCCCGCGTCGTGCCCGTTTCGAGGATTCCGACGTGACTCGGGGGTGGAGGTGAGTCTCGCTGATCGTTTCCAAAAATGGTAATCTTCGAAACGATTCCGTTTCAGCCGTGACGCTCGCGGGCGTCCTTTGCACCTTTTTTCCAGCGCGCGATTAACGGGTTTCCTTACGACTTGCAACAAAATTCGTATTCCGCCGTGAGGAATCCGCGTGCGTGAAGATTTATACGTTTCAGCTATACGTATACGTGTATATGTGTGATTGATCGATTAAAGGATACTTTTGGGCAGTGCGACATTCTTGCGAACGTTATTTTCGCAAAAACGTTGCGCTGCTTCGGACTTGGCGCATCACAATACCGAAACCCACATCGAGAAATATGTCATCGAAGAGCGTTTGCCGAGGTCAGACACCGTTCGCATTGGCAACGCGGTATCGAATCGGATGCGGTATGCACGAAACACCATCTGTCATATCGGATTGTTAACTCGGTTATAGCTCACGCATATCAAATCGTTCGGGGCGCAGCTTAGCCCGGAATGGGCAGCGCGGTAATGCGATTTGGATATATAGAGAGTCCTGTGGGATATTACCGGCGTTGGAGCCTTTTCCCTAGTGATACGATAAATGATATGCATATGTAAATATCGTGACCGCGCGCAATGCAAGTCACCCTAACGGAGTAGACGTCCGACCGGTAAAAAAAAAGTCTCTTGGAACTGATCGCTTCCCGTCGGAACGCATCTTCACAAACTGTTTAATTTTAATTGGACGAAATTTCACTTTCCATATAGCGCTTATTTATTTTTTGCAATAAATCACGTTACGTTTGTCCGAATTATATTATGCAGCTGCCGGTAATAATAATAAAAGAAACTCTATCGTTAAGTGACTTTTGATCAATTTTGCGGAGGAATTAACTTGCACGACAAGCAACAAATTCATTCTGCGCTTGTTTGATCGAACCGTCGAGATAATATTCGGCGTGCAACGCGACGAGAAATCCAAATGCGCCTAATTTTCTCTCACGGTCTCATCGACGATGCCAGGATGATCCCGTTAACAGGATCAAGACTCGCGCTAGACGAAGGGTTCTTGTTATTCGCAATCGCCTCTTCGCACCCGATCCTTGGGGAGCGCAGATCCCCCGTATTTATTTCCCGCTACGCCATGAGAATCATCCTAAAGAGTATAGGATGTTCATTTGCGGCTGCACAATAAAAGAAATTATTTACTTCTGCTGAAGTGAGATTTTATCACGGAATATAATATGTAGTTGCAATCATGTTTTATTTAAATAATATAGTTTCCGATACATCATTGCATAAATATTAAACTAAAAACAAACTAAAATTCAATTTAAAATTAACTATTGTGCAAAAAGATACGCAAAAGATTGTGCAAAAGATTGTGCGGAAAGACCTATTATAATTTAATTAAAGATGGAATATATTTGTACGTTACATACATACATCAATTATATTATTTATACTATATCTTGTATTTTCTCTCGAAAAGTTTTTATGTAGTACATTATAAATTTATCGTTAATTTTACTTTCATACCTAATATTAATTAAAGACAAAGAAAACATATTATTTAGAATTCACAAATTCATTTTCGTGTTTATTAATTATATTATTTATTCTGTATCTTGTAATCTCTTTCGAAAATTTGTATTGTAGTACATTATAAAGTTATATCGTTAATTTTATTTTCACATTTATAATATTGATTAAGAACAGAGAAAAAATAAGAACATTATTATTCAAGATTTATAAATTCAAATGACGACCAATTATATCTTATTTATTCTATATCTTGTGTTCTCTCTCCAACATTTTTGTACATATGATACATTATAAACTTATCGTTAATTTTATTTTCACACCTAATGTTAATTAAATGGAAATTGGATAAACGGAGGTGAGCGTAATGAATTAAACGACGGAGCGACGTGCTCACTTCTACGAAGCTCGGACTTTTGTTTTTCCCTCTAGAATGTAATTTAAAATTTTCATCTCGGGAGAGATCTCGTTAAAACATTCATCCGCCGTCTGACGTAAAAAATAATCTACATTCTTTCGAGTCCTTATGCAGATCGAGGAAAAGTTCTCGCTCGGCGATTATGTCTCTCTTAGCGCGCGATTGCGCGACGTTATAATTTTACGAGGCGCGCGATGAAGCGTTGGGCCTAAATTGTCAAAGCTATTTCGCAATTCGCTCGTTCTCTCTTATATAGATATCAAATTGGAGAGACTTCCGCCTCTTCATCTCGAGCGCGCCTTTATCGTCAGACTAATGATTTGCAAACAGTGTCTTTCAGCTCGTTCCTGCTCTCGTTACGAAGTTTTCAGCGGGCGTGTCGGTACGTGAACAAGACAGACATCTTGAGACTTTCGAAAGGTAAAAGACAAGAGTAAAGGAAATCCTCACCTACAATAAGCTCCGTTTATGCCATTGTCCGAATTTTATTTGCACAAGTGCTTTCTTAAATGTACTGCAAACAGAGAGCAAATTACTAAAATTATATAACAAATATAATCTAACGAACTATGAAGAGTTTAAACATATTGTATCTCTCATTGTATCACATCTATTTCTTTGTATTGTAAACAAAAATTTTTTTTATTTTATTTATTTTTATAAACATATTGTATAGCTTTTATATTAAGAAGTTTATTCAGAAATTTTTATTGCAAAAGTTTTGATTTTATTTTAAATCTTTCTCCAAATTTAGAAATAAACAGTCAGTGTATAATTCAATAAATTAAATAATATTTTTCATGACGAAGATCAATAAATATATAAGATATTTTTTAGGATACCTATTTTTAAATTATTAATATATATAAAATATTCTTTACTATACTGCAATATTGAATTTTTTTTAAAGAGTCCTTGAATTTATAAAAAAAAGATCACATACAATACAATTTAATCTACAAAATGAAAATTTTTATAAGCAATGTTAATGTTTTTAGAAGCAATGTAATTAATTAAATTATGCAAATTATAAATTGTGTGTAAAAATATCTTTTTATATATAGCCAATATGTTTTTATATAGTCCTTATTTATATTTATTTTTACTTTTTACTGGACCTTTTCACTTATTCCTTCATTATGCAGCTGTATAACTATACACAATGGCGCCATCTTTTGAGAAAATAAATGATCTTGTGCCCTAACGTAGGGAGCAATGATAGTGGTTTACTCAAAGGAAATATGTACCATCCCAGGGTTAATAGAAAACGGATGATCCTAATATCCATACAAGATAGCCTACCATAAGAGTAACTTCTTCTATCAAACTATCCTGCTTTGCTATTGTCGAAAATTTCAAGATGTTTTATCGATATAGGATTTAATAATTTGAAGACAATTGCATCTGTAACATTTAAGTACTTTTATAATCAAGAATGTATTTTTTTTCTTTTAGTATCTGTAATTGTAAATAAGCCAAAGGTCTTATCTTTGAGACGAAAATAATGCTTTAACATGCGTAAATCGTAAAATATGAATTTTCATTTTTTTCATTGTTCGTAAGAACATTTTATAGTATTATATTTTATGATGTATTTTTAATAAAGACCCTCCTTCTTTTGATAATTACGCAAAAAAAATTTTTTAATATACTTTTTTATATATAAAATAAATTTAAAAATAATAAAAATAATTAGAAAAAACTTTTGCATTTTTTTTACAACAAGTAAAATTGCGACTAGATTATACAATATTTTATATAGAGATTATATTTTATATATGATTAATAGATATATTTATATGTGGACAATTTTTTTTATTTTCTTAACTCCACTTTTTGTAAAACAAAACAATGCGAAAATTATCCTTTTAATTATTTTTTATTCAATACTTATTATTATTTCCCTTGTATATATACAAACAAAAATTATACAAGAGAAAGGAAACATATAATGTGAACATATTTGATATACCTACGTATACGAAAAATGTTTTCTCGAGTATAGCTTCTATTCATTTGCTGTCAAACGTATAATTTTGTTTATTATTCTTCGTAATAATTGAAGTAATTTTATTTGATCTTAATTATGATATAAAATGATTGTCAGATTGCCAGTGTAGATGATATCAAACCTCATTTATGATTAAAAATCGCACACGGAAATCTTCTTCTAGATAACACGCTGGAAAAACCGCTTGACTATGACATATAGGATTAGATAAGAAACGGGAGCGAAAGATATTAATCAATCGATGCCGATAAATGATAACATTGTGTTTAACAATATTCTTTATCAATATTTGTCTGGTGTACAATGTTCACCACATATAAATGTACATCTAAATTTTTGATAATTATATATGCAAAAATATCATTAGAAACACTAGATATACCTAGGGAAAGCCCGGGCAGAGCAAATGTGTTAGAGGGCCATATAATTCTCAATTATACAGATAAAGAAGAAGAACATTTAATATTTTCAGCCTTGTTTAAAATTGCGTATATTTATTTCTGTGAAAAAGAATATCAAACTTATTCAAAATAAAAAATTGCCAATTTGTTGTAAAAATATTGGGTTGGCCAATAATAAGTCCGCGTGCGGTTTTTTACTTATAAATTTTACTTATAAAAAACCGCACGGACTTATTGGCCAACCCTATATATGTTTAATTGTCTTAAAATACAATACATAGACTTATTTATTTAGAGTGCTGTAACGATAATAAACACTTGAAATACCTAATTTTATTTTGAATCAAAAAGTTTATTATTTCCTGGTAAGTGAATATTATTAAAAAACAAAAATACTTTCGCGTCTTGTGATTTTTTAATTTGAAGTTGATAGATTGTAGATTAGATAATGGTGATAAAGAGATTATAAAAGGCTGCTAATAGACACTGTATAGCCATTTGTTGGGCATATCTTTCAGAAATCATGTACACGGCAATTACTTTCTTTCTTATCGCTTTAGCTACAGTCCACGGTAATCTATTCTCTCGTTACGTTTAAAGAACTATTATATTAACGAATTAGATTTATTCAAATAAAATTGATAAAAGAATCTCTTTTATCTATAATTAAAAGAACATTTGATAATCATTTAATATTCAACATTTGACAGTTTTTAATCTTTTATATTTTAATATTCTTATAATTCTTAAAGCTTAACATAACAAAATAATTGGTTTAGAATAAAAATAAAGAATAGAAGATTGTAAAATATGTATATGTGTGCGTAAGTGATGATTAAATTCATAAAGTATACATATTCTTTTAAATTTTTTATACGGTTTTAGTTATAAATTTTTAACTAAATAATTTTATACAAAAGTGATTAACATTTAAATAAATTATATATATATATATATTCTTTGTTCATAAGGTTTGCCGGCGTCGCATATCATCGGTGGTGCGGACGCTCCGCTCGGCAAGTATCCACATCATGTAGCCCTGAAATATCAAGGCAGATTTCGTTGTGGAGGATCGATTATTAACAAACGTTATATTCTCACTGCGGCTCATTGTGTAAATGAGTAAGTGTCCTCGCGATTTGTGTTAACCATCCACATTTTGACATTTTCTAGCAACTAATTACAGGATTTGATCTGAATATTTAATAACTAAACTAAAATAATTACTTTTTAAAGATATCGATAAAATATTATATATATTCTGTAAGAAAAATATTATAATATTATTGAATTATATTGTGTTAATTCCCTTTAATTTCTAGTGCCGTTTATAAATTTTCAATTTTTTTATAAAATCTTTGAAAGTTAGAGATATTTTATTAATATAAGAATGTGTGCGTATATATTGCATCGACAATTAAAAGATATGTCTTGCATTCTAACGAAATGACTTTTCCTAAGTATCACCAATGCCAAGCAAGTTATGGTTCACGCGGGTACTATTTACTTAAACGAGACGGGTGATGCTTATCAAGCGGAGAGCGTGACATGGCATCCTGGTTTCGACGATTACAAACTTAATCACGACGTCGGTCTCGTTCGATTAAACCGGGACATCGTATACACTAACGTTGCAAAACCCATTCCGCTTGCACAGAATGACATCGCTGTCGCAGATCTCCCTTGCGCTGTATCTGGTTGGGGCAGAACTTCAGTAAGTTTTTATTGAAATATTTAATATTACCTAAGAATTAGCATTAAGACACACAATCCAAATATTTCACCAATTAGTCATAATCTTTTTAAGCCTTTTTGAATCTTTAATGATATATAAATGACGTATGTTAATATATGTGGGTATAATAATATATAAATAATACATCGTAATGCTCATAGGTGAAATTGCACGATTGTTACTATTCAGTAA